TTGAATATTTAATTAAAACCTTACTTATAACTGTGTTGTTTAAAATAGGTGTAAAAACTTGATAATTGTACACCATTTGTAAATAAGTCAAATAAATAATATAAAAAATTATAATAATACTTTATTACAAATTTTTTATTCATTTTTTGAATGTTACAATACAATATCATTCACGTAATACAATGCCCGATCCTAACACACGTATGTACATTTTATATGGTAACGGTTAATAACATTATTATAGTTTTAAATAAACTTAATGCTAACAATTTGTAAACTTGAAAGTCTTTACTATACCAAAACGAACTACGTTAATATAATATACATTTTTTGGTACAAAAAACTTCCTTAATAACCTAAACATACCTAAGTTAAAGCTATGAATCTCTAGAATATATGACTAAAATAATATATATGTTAACTATTGACATGTCATTATGTACAGGATATTAATTTGTTTAATATTAAATGTAAGTCATTCGAAATAAGTTTGATTAAAATTTAGCAGATACTTGATATAATTCCTTCAATTTATTTGTACATCTTATCCAATCTTGGTGTAAGTCCTACCTGTGCAACAAAAATATGGACTCAGAGAAACGAACGAGTATAATACCACTTTATATTTTTAAATTTAATATCAGTCAATCAGTATTTCTACAATATATGGCTGGAGAAACCAGGTTCAGCAAGAACTAAATAAATTCCTACTCCGCTTATGATTCCGTGGTTGGAGATGGAGTAGTTCTACTTTTTCTAGGCACAAAAGCCGGTCGTATAACTGGCCTCAATGGCTTGAAAGAGACTCTTCTTTCTGTGGTAGTCTTAGGCACTTCTGTTGTAAAACTTTTACTTTTTGGCGTTATGCTCTTCCTAATATCTACAGGGACGTTCTGTGATCTAATTGCCGAATATCTTCCACTTGGAACAAATGTTTTGTTGGGTTTTTGACTCAAATTCGAGGATGTTGTATTTAGTTTTTTGAGAGTACGTGGTGTAGGTCGAGTTATGTTTGTTTTAATTATAGGTCTTCTTGGGAATGCAAATTTAGTTCGCTTGGCGTCAAGTGGAGATGGTTTCTGAGTAGTTGTCTCTTCAGTAGTGATTTCTGTTGTAGATGGGATGTCAGTAATAGTGCTCAAGGTCTGAGTTTCAGTAGATAAAGTAATAGATGGGGTAGTTGTCAAGAGCTCCATAATTGGACTAGTTTGACCCCTTTCTGTAGTTGGATTTGTTTTGGTAGTTGCATCAGGTAATGTTACTGAGGAGCTTTCAGAAGTGTTAGGCAATACAGATATATTAATCGGGTATTTTATATTTGATTCGTCTACCACAGATCCGCCATTAAATTCTTGACCCTTAGCAAATGTCACTATACTACGACCTGCTTCTGGTTTGATAATTTGTAATTTAACGATATTTGCTTCGTCCTTTTGAGTTGGCAGCGATGCTGAATATACAACAAAAGGTTGTTTATCTCCTGTACCGGATAATTTCCTTGCAGTTGCGGGAGTTTCTGTTTGAAATAACGCTTCTAGTGGTAATGTTGAAGGATCAGTCAGCATACTGCGTGGCGTTATTATTTCAAAGCTTTTAGCAGCTTTAGTCTGTGACAGTTTTTCGTTTTCATATGCAGCTGGTATAAATTGCCAGTTAGATGATGATAAATCTTCATGGGAATTTTCAGTTTTCTTTTCATCATTCACGTAACTTAAAAAATCATCACTTGCAACGCGTTCCACTCTATCTTTGCCAAAATTATCTTGAGCTACTTTTTTAATATGCCTATAAGCTTCATTAATACTTTCGGAGGCTACTAGATTTTCTCTTGGAGCTTCAGCGAAATTTGTTAATGCTCTTGCGTTTCTGGCTTCATCTATCCTAATAGGGTTATCCGGAGGATTTTCTACTGGATAAATGTGTCCTAATTTAGTTAAATAAATTGGAATTTCATCTTCCACTATTTTGATAAAACTGAATCTGCTAACTTCGCCAATCTTATTAACAACTGGTTTCTTTTCAACCATTATTTTACCTTCTTCAATAAGAGTAGTTTCATTATTTTTATTAAGACGATGCTTGTCTAATTTTGAAGAAACTTCAACTACTCTACTTACCGAGAATAGTTTGTCTAATTGTGTTTTTACTTTTGGAGTTACTGGAGCACTAGTCGTTGTTTCGGGAGATGTTTCAGTATTAGATACTGATGTATAAATATTAGATGACGTAATTCCCTCTGTTACAGTTTGAGAATACACTGCAGAGCCTTGTGTGGTAGGATATGTAGTTGTGTCTACAGTATATTCTAAATAATCATCTGTAGTATTGCTAATTTCCATTGTAGCCGTTTCAATCTCAAAAGTACTGGTTGATGTGACATCTTCTACCGTATTTGTATTTTCAAGGAATGTAACAGTGGTTGATTCTGTCATAGATAAATAATCATCGTCAACAGTTTGCATTTCACCGTCTTCAGAAGTAATCGTAGTTGTTGGTTCTGTAACTTTCTCTGTAATACTTGATGTTTTTTCTGTTACATTTCCACTTGTAGGTACAACGGCACCACCGTAACCAATTGGAACATTTTGTACACGCTTCTTTGTTTCATTAATTGATTTATTTAATGCAAACCTACTTTGAACTACAGTTCGATTCTGAGATTGTATACTACTATACGGTTTTCTAATGGATTCAGTAGTAGACGCAATTCTAAATGAATTAGAATTTACTACTCTTGGGATAAAACTAGGCTTCCTAGATGTTGTACTAAGTACATTTATTGATTTTTCTTCTTCAGAATTTTCCTCATCAGATTCGCCTTCTGGTTCATTATCATATTCATGTTCTGATTCATCAGTTGGAGGATTTCTTGGAAAGTGTTGATTTGGTGGTACAAATACCAACGGATTATCAGGTTCTTCATCAAGAATCTCTTCTTCAGAGTATTCTTCCTCTTCTTCTACTTTTGTAGTTATTTTGGCAGTTGTATATGGACGTCTCTGTCTTGGTGTAAATAATGGCCTCCTGGTAGTAGTAGTTGATCTAAATGTATTTTCACGATCTGAGGTAGCAGGGCTGGTGTACGCTCCAGGATTAAATTTACGACTAAATGTTCTACTACTAGACGGTACAGAACCTTCGGTAGTGGACGAGAAAAGTCTTTTGGTTGGTCTGTATGGTAGTCTTGTACGGGGTGTTGGCTTCTGTGTAGTACTTGGTTTTGTTTCAAAATTTTGCTCTTCTAATTCATTTACAGGTGGTTCCTTAAGTAAGGTTTCCGTTTCAGACGAATCTATAGATTTTTCTTCATTTTCTAAAACAACCTCCGGCTTGTTAATTTGTTTACTATTTTCAGTTTCAAATTGATTATCTATATTTGCAATTTCATGCTCAGTTTTAGTTTCCACTACTGTGTCCGAGATTTCCGGAATATTGTCATTCTCAGAGCTTTCCTTTTCATTTTTAATGTCTTTCAAATCAGTACTTATTGTTTCAAGATTAGCACTAAGATTATTACCAATACTTTGATTATGAGAAATAGTAGCTGATTTGGCATCAGTTTTTTCTCCTACTTTGTTATTTTCAGATAGCTCTGTTTGCAAGATATTGCTATTTTTCGCATCTTCTTTATTATTAACATCTAATTCCTCATTATTTAAATCCGTAGAAGTTTCAACTTTCAATAATCCAGGGATTATGTCGTCTACTACTTCATCTCCTTCTTCTTCTTCTTCTTTTACTGATGACGATTTTATTGATAACGAAGTAGTTGGAATTGTTTTTTCTCCATAATTAAATAGTACTTCTGTAGTAGTATCTTTAGGAGACGCATTAAGGGAATTTACAGATTTAGCTAAAATTTCTGGTTCATTCTCTACAGGTTTCAATTTTTTTCTTATAATTTTCCTTATTCTTGGGGATACTGGATTTTCTGTAGAAACACTACTAGCTTCTGAAACAGTTGTAGATGTTGGACGTCGTCTTATTATTTTAAATTTCTTTTTACTATTATCATCGGTACTAATATTTTCAGTACTAATACCTTCAGAATAAATTGTATTATCTGTTGTAGATGAAACGGGTGTCCGGAGTTTTTTAATAATAATACGCCGTTTAGGAAGTTGTGTAGTTGTTTCAGGATAATCTTCATGTTCTTTCTCTTCTATAGTACTTTCTGATAAAGAAATATCATCAGGTTTATATTCCAGTTCATCATCTTCATTAATTGTTAATGATTTTTCAGTTGACGGCCTCTGACGATATGGGAACGGTAATTTTCGTCCTTGAATAACATTAGCTAAAGTTGGTCTTGGGTTTTTAAAGGACAATCTACTTTGTGTAACGGGTTTTATACTACTAATATCTAGATTCTCTTCTGTAACAGAGTCTTCGGATGGAGAAATACGCCTTCCATTAAATGGTCTAGGAGTGAATCTTGTTATTATAGGTTTTCTTTCATTTGGTGTGGATTCAGTAACAACATTATTGACGTCATTCACAGCTACTGTTGAAAGAGGTGTGAATTTACCACGTCCTCTAGACGGAAAGCTAGGGCGACGAACATCTACGGTTGCTGCGGAAACTTCACTATCTTCCACTTTGTCTGCTAGAGTGGTCCTTCCCCGGAATCTTCTTTCATTTCTAGGAACAAAACTTGGCCTATGGACCGCTAATGGGGGTTCGTTATCAATTGGAGTTAATGATACTACTTCGTCACGGGAAAACTGGGGTCTAAACTGTCCTCTTGAAATTGGAGATGCTGCTGCGGGTACAGAATCGTCAACATTTTCTGGAGATTGAATCCTTACTCTCTTTTTTCTAACCTGTCTTATTTCTCCTCCAATTCGTACCTTGTCATCAACTACTTCTCTACTATTCGGCGTAGTGGATCTAATTTTTCTAGAAACCTCGTTCGTTTCATCTGAGTCGGCGAGTATTTCATTTGGCTTTGAAATGGGAACGCGACGGCGACTTACAAAAGTATAATTCCTAGGACTCACCTGAATAGTTGTAAATGGAGTTATCGTCGTAGACCCACGTCTTCGAATTGGGAGAGGGCGTGGCGCGATGCTCGAAGAAAGAATTAAAGGTAGGGATGTGGTTGTAGTCGTTGTCGTACTTGGAGTCGTTGTCGTAGTAGTAGTACTCGACACGGTCGTTGCTTCTGTCTCTTCAGTTGGTGGAGCTTCCGTTTCAGTTTCTAAGACTTCGGCCTCTGTGGGGCTCGGTGAATTTAATAGAGATGATATCTGAACAGCGAGGATTGTAGTGGGCTCAGGATTTTTATAGTCATCAGGAGGAGGTAATGTGGTAGAACGAGCTCTGACAATGGAAGTATACTGAGGTTGTGAAGATATTTCTCTTTCCAACGCTTGGCCTTGTGACTCATTATTGCGTTCGGAACTTAGATAGCTGAAAATAAAAGAAGTACTTTAATATGTGGTAAAAAATAAATCACATTCAGACTAAGCTGACAGATTTCTAATACTGTTGGTAGAGACATGTGGAAATTATCAAAAAGCTATAGTTGAGTGTGTCGTGCGATTTTGAATTGCACATTATTCTCAGCTGATTTGATTTACGTATGAGGCAAGGGAGAGAAATAAATTGAAACGTTTATTTGTGAGCAGTAGTAAGCAAACGTGTATGTTAATGTTGAGGTCGTCATTAGCGAAGTGTAAAACTAAAGTTAATTTCTCGGTTAAGGTTGCCGAAAAGTAAAATTCAAGTTGATTTTGTGCCGTATTACTACGCACACTCACACGCAAACTCTGATTTAATAATTTTATAAGTAACCCTAATATAGTATAAACAAAGTGTCGTCGTCGCGTGACTGACGACCTCGGTGGTCTAGCGGTCTAGCACACCACTTTACGTCCGATGGTCGCGGGTTCGATTCCTCGCACGGCACAAACATTTGTATTCATGAGTATGATTGTTTGTATCGGTCTGGGCGTTTTCTATGTATAATATCTAATATAAAAATCTAAGTACTTTATGTACTTGTATCAGTTATATAGTACCCATAACACAAGCTTTAGATATCTTAACTTGGGACTAGATAGCTCTGTGTGAATTGTCAAAAAAAAAAAAATTCACCCCGGCTCTCTGTTCGCTTATAATATGTAATATTATATAGAAATTATGGATATTCTTACTAGTTATTATTCGCAACTTCCTTTGCTTTTTTGGTAAGCACCTATGTTCGTTCTTATGATACAATATATCTTTTGATTTCATTTAAGTGGGAGTCAAAAATATGCACTTAGATTGTGGAATGAATTACCTGCCGAGGTTTGCTCACAAGAGTACAGTAATGGATTCAAAACTGGTATATTAAGGTTTCTTAAGAGTCGGCAACACGCACGTGGCTACCCTAGTCTAAGACACCAGGATTGTCTCAGACAAGGTTTGTGGTATCTCACCTCTGGTGTCTCAAGCGTCTATGGGCTGCGGTAACCATTTACCATCGGGGGGGAGGGGATTGTTAGTAATGTGGACTGATGACCCCATTGCTAGCAATGTACCATGTCAGGTCGACCTCCACGCGGTTCCCCCTGGAAACCATCGTGATAAATACCCGATGAATTTGTCACGATGCGCCAGCGTATACCGTTAGCGCAGGCGGGTGTACCGTACCATTATCATCCGTAAAAAAAAAAACCATTTACCATCAGACGGCCATATGCATGATAAGGCGCTTTGAAATAGTATAACTACTATTTAATTTAACAAATATGTCACAATATCTACTCACCGTGAAGTAGTGGTTTCCTCCGTTGTAGGTCTTTGTCTTCTAATCGTAACGTATTCGGGCATATTCTCTCGGCGAGCATTTCTTATATCCAAAGTACTGGGTGTCTCAGATACTTCTATGTACGGTTCCACTCGCTCAAACAATGCGTTTCTGTAAACAATATCTTTGTGAATGTCATAGTAAAATAACCTTTAAATAGCCTCGAATTTAAGGACTACTTTGTGTTGTTATTATCATATGTAATCTCATTTGAAAAGAGTTCTGTTTTATGTATATAATTAATAATAATAATAATCTCAGGACAATTCACACAGCGCCATCTAGATCCAAGTTAAGCTAGTCAAAGCTTGTGTTCTGGGTACTACATAACTGATACATATACGTAGATTTTTTTTTGTAAATACATACACAATATATGTAGAAAACAGACCGACACAAACATTCATATTCATGAATACAAATGTCTATACTTTGCGAGGAATCGAACCAGAATCGGAAGCAAAATGTGCTCAACTGCTTGACCACCAAGCCCGTCAGTTAAGTAGAGGGCATGACTTTTACCTGGAAGCAGTGTCATCTGCAGTATCAGATGTTGATGGTGAGGGCGCTCTACGTATGTTGACATACTGCAATGTCCTCGAGGTCGTTCCGCCGTTATCCGTAGATTCTACAACACGTGATCTGGACTGCTTGAAATTTGATACAAAAGGTTTTTCAGTCGCTTCTTCACTAGCCACAGATGCTTCTGTAGACGCTGTGGTTGCTCGTGATCGGTTGATAGTGATGTATCTATAAAAAATTACATATTTTCAAGGCTATTATCCTAGATGGAGTAGTGGTAGGTGGTAATACATTAAGGTGGTAATGCATTACCATACTATTGGCATTACTAGCGGTTTGGGACTGTGAGGTATCTATAAACAATTAACATATCTTTAAGGCTGTTATCCTAGATGGAGTCTGAGGTATTACGGTCTCGGTAGCGGTTTGGGAACCGCTTTGCTTCCTATGATAGTAAGTTTTATTCCCCGCACGCTGCAAACATTTGTACTATATTCTTGAGTATGATTGTTTGTATTAATGTGGGTGATTTCTATATGTATTAAGTGTGTATTCATAAAAAAATGTAATTAAGTATTTTATCAGTTATGTATGTCCCAAACTACACAGAGCTTGTGTTACGGTCACTAGATAACCGATAGACACATTTTTTTGTAAATACATATTTACATAATTTACATAGAAAACAAACAATTTACTCATGAATACAATTTTTTTAACCCTGCGAGGAATCGAACACACAACCATCATAAGTAAATCAGTGTACTAACTGCTAGATCCCCGAGGCTCTCAGTATATCATCATACCTGCATCGGCAGGTAATTCATTCGCAATCTAAGTGCACGGGGGACGAAGGTTCTCTGAAACTCTGTGCACTTACATAGGTTTCAAGTTATTGAGATGAATTTTAATAATAGTAACTTTACTTACTGCGGCCTGTCTTTTTTAGTCTGTGCACTCTTGTCAGCGGATGATTCCAGTCCCGCATTCTGTGGTCCCCTGCGACTGTTCTGAGAGGAGCTACCCTCAGATGCAGTGTTTAGGTTAAATCTGAAATTAAAGGTCGACAGACATTATGAGAAGAATAAGAAAAAAAAAAACAATTTTAAGATTTATCAACTCATAGAATTTGTATCACAGTATATTTATCACTTGAAACTAAGCGATTGTCTACAATGTGGACTTATGTCTTACCTAGAAAGAGAATATATAGGTGTATAACGATATTATAATTAAAAGAAGAAAAAGTTGAAATTTACATATGTTTATTTCAAGAATACATATTACTCCACTTTGTGCAAATACCTATATATTGTAAAAAAAAAAACATTAATTTCATTTACTTAAATCCTAAAGAATGTAGGTGTTTCATCCAGACCAGATATATGCCTATATTGGAAAAAAACTAAACGTGTAATGCTGGTAGAGATCACTGTACTATTGGAAACAAATATACTTAAAGACATCAATATAAAGAAATAAATATTAAGCACTAATAAATGAATTTACGAAACATGCAGTCACAGTGGAAGGGAGAGGATTATCAGAGAAATATCTTAATAATCTTCTAAAAGATCTCGGCCTATCTAGAACTGCGGTGGGTTCTATACTAGAACTGCAGTGGGTTCTACAGTAGAACGTGTATTAAAAGCTGCACTAGCAGGTTCCTGTCAGATTTGGCTGGATAGGGAGAGAAACACGTCAGAAAACGGGCTTCTAGAACCCACATCCGGGTCACAAGTCCCGGGAATTGCTTGGAGTTTCCCTCTGTGCCACACGATGGCCCCGTATCCGCACTGTGACTCCATGGAATGCTAAGATGTTCGTCTCAACTATTGATGCCCTGTTGTAGTATGGTAAGTAGGTATGTAGATACTCACTTGTTTTTGCCGCGCGTTCTCTCCAGCACTTTGTATAACTTTTTATTTAGTGACGTGGGTGTGGTGGACGGTCCATCGGTGCTGACCAGAGTCTCCGACAGTCGTAAGTGTTTCTCCAGCTGTTCTACGCCACCTGTTCAAAAGATTATTTTTTACATTAAGATTAATGATATATATATATAGCAACATTCAAATCCAATGTACATTGTTCGTGAATAAATAAATAAAATAAAATAAAGATTACATTTAGGGATTTTATATAGCACTATGTTCCACGTTTATAAACCCAGCATTTCAGGTCCAACATTTTTCTAACGGAAGATCTTTAGTACATATTGTATAAACAGCATATTACCACGGGTCAACCCGTGACTGGAACTTGAGATAACAGCGTACATACATCCAAAGTGCGAAATATCCGGAGCTCTTATTATCGGGAAATAATATTATCGTGGTATATATATTTTGTTTCAAAAACGTGTAAACAACCACGAAAAAACAATCAATTTAGATCACAGTTTCGCACCTTTTTTATAGCCTTCAAATATAGTTTAGTGTATATATATTTGAAGATTAGTTAATAAGTAATTTATTATTATTACAGCATTATAAAAAAACAACATATTAACATTACTATTGATTTATTTGGCTTAGTCTTCAAAAGAAGAGTTACTATTATCAATTTATATGAAGTAATGGCACAAGCTGACTGCCCACCCGATGGCAAATGGTAACCGTTACTGTATACATGGGACATCAGACACAAAGATATTTGTCTACATGTAATTTCACTGCCATATATCACCCTTCAAGTGAAACACGGTTTATAAAGAAGGTGCTTTGAGGGTCGCTAAAATTGGTGAGGTACTGGCATTGAGTCCAGAGTAAACCTGCAGATTAATTTAAAAAGATGAAGTACATACCGACTTTCTTGATAAGATCAATCAGTTCCTTGATCACTTTAGGGTCCTCAGCATCAACATCACTGGTGTCCTCCGGTACTTCCTCTTCAATTTCTTCTTCGCTCTATACAACCAAAAAATTTAAGATTAATACCTAACAAATGAGAGCCCCTCATAATAGCATTGTGGACTAGTGGTTTACAATGCAATTTTGACCGCAAAGAACATGAGTTCAAAAAGGTTCAACACCAAAAAAATCTTTTTATCAATTTATTTTTTCAGCGTTGGAAACACTGATAACTTGGCTGCTACCACTGATAACTGAGATTTCCAGGGCCGTAAAATACTTAATAAAAAAAAATCAAATTAATCTGATAGATATATATATATGTTTGCCCCCTAGATTTCAATATATCAAGCAAAAGTGAGGACGCTAAATCTTGCGTTCATCAATAGAAATCCATCAATGATTTTTAAAGGGTAGTGGTAGGTGGTAACTCACCTAGTATTTCAGGTGTTCTTAGGTTTGGTTGCAGGCTAATAGTATAATTCTTTATCGATTATCATAATCATTGGATTATGATAATGGCTTACAGTCCGTCTATTGAAAATGGCTTTACGAATGGACTTTAAAAAGGAGTATCGTAAGATTTATAAAGGTTTCAACCCACTTGTGACTCCTCTAGTATTTTAGCGTCCGTGACTTCGGTAGTATCATTCTACAGTGATGTTTATGATAACTATACATATAATTAGTAAAAATCACGGGATCTTACCACGTTTTATATTTATTTGCTGAGTTCCCGATATTTCGGCAGTGTTTCAACCACCATGATCACGGGTAAACTGAAGAGCAGCGGGTAGATGGAAAATGAAATCTTTTTATGGGCAGACATATGCGTCTACCTTCACACGTCTTCGTTTGTTGCTACTACTGGAACTCGCTCGATATTCATCTCGGCAAACTGTACTCACAGTATCTTCACGTACGTTTAATACACTTTTCGATCGCGTTTTTTGTTTTTGTTTAATTAAACCAATCACTGGATTTCAGGCATTAGAGACCCTATAACCGTCTTCTCGATTGAAATTTTTATATTTCTGTATTTCAATGGCCTCTCTAACCATTCTTGGGATATAATGCCGTTCTGATGTTAATACTTTTGGTTGGTGTAGTTCAATCCAGTGATTGGGTCCCGATCCCAACAAGTGTTCCGCTATGGCTGATTTACGTGGATCGTTGTTTTTAATAGCTTTTATATGTTCAGCAATGTGACGGGATTGCTAGGGACGGGATAGCAAGATCCCGTGATTTTTACTAATTATACGTATAAATAATGACCGCGTCAAGGTTAAAACAGTTTATGAGAACTGTTATATAACATTCTCGTGGGACAACAATAACAAACATACAGCCCGTTTATTGAGAATCCATATATACCACCATTATAGTAAAAAAATATATTATATAATAATTATTTTCATGTATAAGTTTTTATGGCAGTACCCAATGCTTGTTTGGCACAAAATAATCATATTAAAAAAAACTAATTAATGATGAGAGACTCGCCTCTGGTTCCGGAGTAGTGGTCGTCGTTGTTGTCCTAAACAGAACTGAGTTCTTAGTGCTCAGCTTGATAGGTCTCCTGGTTGTTGTTGTGGTCGTGCTGCTGGTGGTGGAGGCGGCCTTGGTGGTAGCTTTCGTGGTCGCACTCGGCTTCTTGCAGAGGACGTTGCGAGCGAAGTCGCAGGAATCAGCCGCCTTGTTGAAGAATAGTCCTGGAATACGATGATATAAGGACATTAACCAATATAATAATAAGAAAATTAGTTAGTAAAAAATATTTTTAAACTTTTGCGTATGGTATAAGTACACATCTATAATAATACAAGCTGTGCCCGCGGTTTTACTTCAATAAAAAATATAGCCTATGTGTTATTCTGATGCATAAGCTATATTATTGCAAAGTTTCATCAAAATCCGTACAGTAGTTTTTTGCGTGAAATAGTAACAAAGAACTCACAAACTTTCGCGTTTATAATATTAATAAGATTACCAAGAGGTGTAATCTCTGGATCTACAGAACCCAGTTAGATAATTATTTGACGAACAGAAATATCAACATGTCGTTTCTGTGAAATATCTATGCCAACTATGTCACATCTTTTAAATGACTTTATTTTGAGTTTATAGACTAACGACTCGTCACTCTATCGATAATTAATATACAAGAATTACCAGAAGGACAGGTAAACTGATGTGCCACGATGCCCAGGTTGGATGGTCCAGAGTCCAGGCACCAGAAGTACTTTTTGCAGTCTCGTGGATGCGGGAAGAAACCTTCATCTTTGCACTTGAAATCTGAAAACAATACATGCACGATATACAATAAATAGGTACATTTCCCCTCCTATCGACGCCCCGTTGCATTCAAACGGAGATAGAAATTACTACGGCCTGAGCCGAGGTCCGAATAACTGATACAAATACATAGATTTTTTTCGCAAATACATACATATTACATACATAGAAAACACCCAGACAGATACAAACAATCATACTCATGAATACAAATGTGCGTGCGAGGAATCGAACCCGCGACGACTAAAAGTAGGGCGTATTAAACCGCTAGACTGTCTATAATTTAATAACACATGTACATTAATTAATAATATCATTATTGCTACCGCGTTGTGTGAGCAACTCCTATAAAATGGCTACAAAATATATATTAGAACTAGCTGTACACGCGACTTTGGCCGCGTGGAATTTAACTTTATTTTTCTAACATAAAGGTAGCCTAAGTTACTCCTTATTACACATCAACTACCTGTCAATAAAAGTCCCGTTAAAATCGGTCCAGTCATTTCAGAGATTAGCGGGAATCAACAGACAGACAGACAGACAAATATTGTAAAAAATGTTATTTTGGTGTATGTACCGTATTAATACTCATATGCATGTAGTAAAAAACGGTTATTTCAATATTACAAACAGACAATTCCAATTTTATTTATATGTATAGATTAATCATTGGGTAGTTTCATCGTTTACCAATCCTCAATCCAACATCATTCATTTCTTCCACAATTCCTTCAAATATTACCTGCGCCTGGATCAGGGGTGGTCGGTGGTTCAGGTGTGTTTGCATTCCACGCTGGTGTTGTGCTGGTGTACGATGAGCCACTCTTGCGTTTGGAGCTCAGTGTTCTGAAAATATATTTTTAGTTTAGTTTGTTATACAAGAACCTGGCCCATAACTTCGTAATAAGTGATCGGCCTTCACAAATTAGAGGTTGTCGATTATCTATATGAGCCGCCGGCACCGCAGTAGTTCAGTTAACATGGCAATCTGACAATGGCGCACGTAGGTATACCGTGTGGTTTTTTTATTTTTTATCATCATTATTAGCCCACTGCAGTGTACTGCCGGACATAGGACTCTCCCAAGGCAATCCACTAGGACCGATCTTCAGCCCTTCTCTCTTCTCTCTCTCTTGCAGTCCTACGTATATCGTCGCTCTACCTAGTTTCGGGTTGTCCTACGCTACGTTTGCTAATTCGCAATGTGTGGTGTTTTAGTGTGTAAGAATCCTTATACATCTACGTCACCGCTCCGACAGGTGTACAGTCTTTTGAAAATTAAAAAAAAAATCTTGGAATTAACAAAAGGGCTTACTTGGCTGCAGCTGACGGCTTGGCTGTGGTTGTCGTGGTAGTTGTGGTAACGCGGGGTCTATTACGTCTGTTGGTGCTCGCTTTAGTCACGGGCTGCGATATTATAGCGTTGTCTGTGGCACTGCAAATGGTAATAAATTTTACGATTAATAATCTACCTCTTCTTTATGATTCTGGAGGTAATGTAAAACACATTACACACACTACCATATATTTGACACACACATGCATACATAATGTTTTTCTTTTGTTTATTATTAAAGTCTGTTGTCAAATTGAGAATAGATTAGTGTTGATTGTCTTTAGTTTTACTAAATGTTATATTAATTATGGTCGAATTTTGATCACTAAGGTTAGAATTCACATCGATATTGTAAAAGATCCGATTGTTTAAAAAATATTAAAAGAAGATAGTTTCATTATTACTCGGTATCGTTAAACTAGTTGCGTATAACCCCCGCTTTTCTTGTCTTTATAAGCCACGACATTCGGTCGACGAGCACAGAACGTGCCGGTTGTATTTTGGATACTAAAGTGAATGGTATCAGAGACGGGTTTATCCCAGATTAAGTTGGGCCTGGGGAGACGCTACAAGTAGTGAAGGTGAGTGTAGATGCACTTTAAAAGGGCCTTTTAAACCTACACAAGTCACGGGCATTACTTGGGGTTTCTCTTCCGGTAGCCGACAATGGCCGGTATCAAAGCCTAAGTCGTAATCATAACTAGTGGTTTTAACACTAGTAATAATTATATATAAATAGTAATGTAACAATATACAGTTATTTAGCAAATACAATTAACATTAGCATGCGTTACAGATAGCTATAATTAATTAATGGATTTTTATTATTTTCTTTCATTCCGCTACCATTAGCATGTGGGAGACCAAAATATTCAGTGCGGAAACCTGCCTGTCGGTAGTGGAAGCGTTATGACTTCCCCATTAATTATCAAATTCCGATTGTTATTGAATCTGCACCCATATTCCGACACGTGTTTCGCCTCAATTATGGCTGCTGTGGTATTCACACAATACAGATTAGCAAAAAGGAGACTTGCGGCTCTCAACAAAGAAACCGCTACGCACTCATTCCTTGTGCAATCAGATAATAATGGCAAACGTGCATGGCAACAACAGTTCATGTACGGGGTTTGTCATTTAATATTTTACATGAATAAACAATAGAAATAAATTGTCTTAAAAATAAATTGTTAAGTTTCTTGTCAGTTCTTATCAATTGAATCTGTATACTGAACTGGACGGTAGGATAAAAATATTAATACAAAAAGTTTACGTTCATAAGCGGATAAAATGTCCTACATTAATCAATTATTTTTGATTTAAGTTACCCGAGTTTGGATATGTACGCCTCCTTGGCAGCTTCAATCAGCGGGTAGGGCTTGTTGTGGCAGGTACCGCGGAAGTCATCGTTGTCAATGGACCAGAACATGATACCTGAAATAATATTACACATTTGGTTAATAATGTTATTGCCTTCGCGACTTGTTACTTAGTTCATTATCATTCAATATATTTGTAATATTAATGAGGAGATCCGCAGAAGAACCAGAGTGACCGACATAGTCCGAAGAATTGCGACTCTGAAGTGGCAATGGGCAGGGCAAATAGTTCGTAGGACAGATAGCCGTTGGGGCAGTAAAGTCCTCGAGTGGCGACCACGGACCGGAAGACGCAGCGTGGGAAGGCCTCCAGCAAGGTGGACTGACGATCTGGTCAAGATCGCTGGAAGGCATTGGATGCGAGCAGCGCAGGACCGATCGTCGTGGAGATCTTTGGGGGAGGCCTATGTCCAGCAGTGGACGTCTTCCGGGCTGCGATGATGATGATTAATTTCGACAGCCCAATTGGTCTTTTGGTATAGCATACCGTTTTACTATCCGATGGTCGCGGGTTCGATTCCTCGCACGGTACAAAGTTTTGTATTCATGAGTATGATTATTTGTATAGATCTGGGTGTTTTCTATGTATATTATGTATTTACAAAAAATCTAAGTATTTATATCAGTTCTCTAGTGCCCCAAACACAAGCTCTGCTTACTATGGGACTAGATGACGCTGTGTTAATTGTTCAGGGTTATTCATTATTTTTATTATTGTCGTAACCAACCCATTGGTTGTATTATGTACTATTTTATTTTAATAAATTTGTAATGAACTTTTTACTTGAAACTTTTCAGTGTTCTACTCACCTCCTAGACCGTTGTCGGCGACATATTCCGCCTTCTTTTTAACAATTTCCACGTCATCGTAGCCGACCCACTGGTTGCCTTTGAATGCGACTGGACCCATAGCATTCGGGTTGGGGTACATTACAGTCCACGGGACATCCACTTCCGATGACTCTCCGGAATCATCATCATCGTCATCATCATCATCATCATCACTTTGGCGAACGCTGCGTTTATTCTCTTTGGGTTTTAAAGCTTCGCAAATCTGAAAAATGAATAATTTTGTTTATTATTTATTATCTTTGCACCGACAACAATTATTCTCTACACCACCTATGGTTGCCTGGACGTGCTGCCGTCTGTATACGTTTACGACTTTGTCGGAATATAAATTGTAACACATTTTACAAAGCATACTGCTTGGATGCTGTAATTGGTGAGACAGATGATAAAATTTTAAGCGATGTTTACTCTGTTATTATTTTTTTAAACTGTAAAAAGTTGCCTACTTGGGTACCACATTCTCACCTATTTCAGTCAGCCAACCAGCTGGCTTTGGGTCAAATTCTGCAGTGAAATTACAGGATAAGAGGCATGACATCTTAATAAGGTTAGAATAATAGGCAACAATGCTCATAGGCTAGAATGGCCACTATGAGTACCTCGGATGTCACATGAAACGTGATGTCCGTACTATACCGTATATAGGCGACAGTTACTACTTACTATCAGTGGGGTTTCAGCTTGTTTAGCATTAGAATTACATTAATAAAAGAGTTTTTAGTGTATTTTTTATAATAATTAACACTATATGCAATACACAAAGTTTTTTAAATTTATAAAGTAATAAAAATAACGACCCAGATTCTTTGCCATTTCAATGACATAAAGAAAAATTCAAATTAATTGCTTGTTTCTTACCTCGTAATAAGCTAAATATCCTTTCTCCCTGGTAGCGTCTCCCTGTTCACCAGGTCCGTCAGCAGGGGAGCCGATCTCCACAGCATCAGGGTTGAATAGCGTGTACGAGCGGCCATACGTTGGTATACCAAGAACCAGTTTGTCAGCATCCGCACCATTTTCAATGTAGAACTTAATTGTGTAATCCTGAAAGTTTACAATGATGTATCAAATTCAAATTTAAAATCTTTATTCATGTAGGATTATTACAGACTCTTATGCTATGTCAAATCTACCGTCAAGAAATTCAGCTCCTATTTTTTTTTTAAATAAATGTTGTATGTATTTACAATAATACAGATTCATTTAAATTCAAATTTGGGAGAATAGAGTGACCACCAGCTATGCTATTGCAATAAACAAAAAATGTAATCAGTGTTCGCAACCTGAACAGACCAGTCCCTACAAGCAGCACCCGTTCAAGAGTATGACGGTCATATTGTCTTATAATTATGAAAACGTTTGTGTACATGAGTATGATAGTTTTTTTGTTCATGTTGTGATTTCACTCGCATGAAATTTATAGCTTATGTGTTATTCTGAAGTGTAACCTATATTACTGTAAAGTTTCATTAAAATCCGTTCAGTAATATTTTAACTCATTTGCATTTATAATATTAGTAAGATTATGTATGTATTTACAAAAAAATTATACATATATATGTATTTATATTTTCTAGTACCCAATAGAAGTTCCGCTTAGCTTCGAACTAGATAGCGTTGTGTGAAATGTCCTGGGTTAATATGTTATTATTATATGACTCATTGAATTAAAACGGCAAGGGCATTTTGGTCGTGTCAAGTGTTAAGTTCACAATATTAACATTTGACAATGCCTCTGACTACTCAACTTGGGAGTTATCCCAAGTTGAGTAGTCGTGATGGTATGTGTCGTAGTCGTATGAATGCGTATACCTCCTAATTTTTGAAATCCGTTAAGTAGCTACATCTTTATCTTTGAGCGTGATTACAAATATTCAGTGCAAAACTATCGCAGTGTTAATCTGAACAGTTTGGTCGCGAAACAGTTAATACTAGGCTAGGCTAGGCTTCCAATCTATACCGAAATTAATTCAATGCCTAATGATGCCTGGTTTAGAGGCGAAACACGTGTCACCGACAAGAGCGTAGGTCTTAAATTATGAATGAATAAAGTAAGGAAATAGACTTCCGCAAAATAACACCTAATTCGATAAAATATAAGAGTTACTTACAATGTTAAGTTCGTTATCGGTGCTGTACTCGTTTGGTTCCTCCAGGGGGAACAGCGGCGCGTGGTGGTTCACTGCCGGCTCGAACGCGGAGTGGTAATCGTAGGATAGCAGATTCATCCAGTCCAGGTATCTGTGGGAGATAGAAAAAATACATCACTTAATTTGAGACTCTGTTAACATGGCCAATTGGGGGGAAAGGGGTTGTTAGTAATGTGAACTAATTACTCCATCGCTAGCAATGTACCAAGTCAGGTTGACTTTCACCCTGTTCCTCCTGGAAACCATCGTGGCAAATTCCGCGTGAATTTGTCACGGTGGGCCAACTGTCCTGACCTCATGCTCATCCTATCATCCTTTATTATTGCCCTGCCAGCGTAAACCGTCAGCGCAGGCGGATGCGCCGTCCCATTATCATCCATAAAAAAAATCTCAGGAACTACTTATATTATTTTATTACGGCGCACTATCATCTATTTAAAAAAATATACATATGTCCATGATACATATGATCCATATTCATATTAGTCCACTATTTATTATAGTTATTTTGGTATTAAAATCATCTGATTGGTGTTATTTTATTCTATAAATTAAGTATACACATGTACGCTGTACGTTGTTACACGACTTGTTTTATTTATTTAAAATAAATAAAATATAATTTAATCATAGTGCGTTTGTTTAATCAAATTTATTTATTATAAAGAATAATGTATGTTTATTTAATAATTTAGATATGTAACATTTAAATGCTGTTTATATTTTAAATATTTTTTTTATATAAGAAATTTATAGTCACTTCTAGTTCCTGAACTTATGTTACAGTTCAAAGTTTGATTTAAAATATCCAAAATATACATAATAATAATTTATTTCAGACAACATGATCCATTTTGTTAGTAACAGCTTAGTGACATAACTTATCCTATGTTAGTAATAAAACTTAAAATAAAAATAGAAACTAATATATAATTCTTATATATTTTCTACGCAGTTTTTCAATTAGATATTAAGAGTTTATAATTTAATTTTGACTAATTAATATTATATTTAAATTCAGAATAATTATTATTGAAGATCAATATATAAATAAATTCAAGGTTCACTAATGAATCCCAAAACATTTCCTGTTCAATAACACTAATCTATTTTTCATCTCGTATATCAAGGTCTTCCTTGATATACTAACGAGGTTAGAATGCGTAATATTATTAATTTTCAATTCATATTAAAAGAATTTCCAATCGATTTTTTATATTATTGCGGTACGGTCGGAGGCGCTTTAACCAACGCAATAACGCCTGTTAGTCTTTCATTTGAATCATAGTAATGATTGTAAAGAAATGAATCATAGTAATATAACGATTTTTAATAAATTTAAATTTAATATAATTTAAATATTTTAAATATATTATTAAAAGGGGTTTGGATAGTCATATTTTATTATTTTACCACTTATTTGGCGCAGACTCATCATAAGAAGATCGAGCAAGAAACTCGGGTGTTGCTCTTTTAAATCTTATATATAAAATTCTCGTGTCACAGTTTTCGTTCCCATACTCCTCCGAAACGGCTTGACCGATTCTCATGAAATTTTGTGAGCGTATTGAGTAGGTCAGAGAATCGGCCAACATCTATTTTTCATCCCCCTAAATGTTAGGGGTAGTCCACCCCTAAATTTTATTATTTAGACAAATTTTTTAGTTTCTATTTTTTTATGATACAACATACAAAAATACATACAATCTTAAATTTTCAGCCTTCTATCATCAACCCCTATTTTTTTATAGCGTTATGAATATATATGGCAAAACAACGTTTGCCGGGACAGCTAGTAATCATATATAATCATCATAGCTTAACCTCCCTTACGCTACCTTCCCCAGGCAACCTAGATACGTGCCTATAAATTTTAAAACTACCACTTGTTAGAACCAAAAAATAGGTTCAGAATTATAATGTGGCTCGCTTTAGCCTTAGTCCGCCACTACCAACCATGCTGATCATTATTTCTGAAATCTATAGGATTTAGATTCTATTTATTTACTTGTGTTGATCAAAATTACTGGACTACGAAAACCTTTAAGATTGAGGCTTATCTTTGTTTTCTACCATCGTGGTATAAAATAAATAGATATAATTGCGCATAAAATAATAAAACAATCTAAACTTTATTTTATTGACATACAGTTGAATATTCTTTATCCTTGGAAAATATACTACAAATATTTTAAACCTCAAACATCAGGGCTTACGGATGTTCCTAACAGACCTGTTATTTGGTGAACGCACAATCAATAAAGGTCAAGGCATGCGAACGTCTTAGTCCACAAAATCCGGTTTGACAATCCTTAACCTTACGTCAAACAGGCTAGTGGCTGGCCATATCAATGATTACAGATCATGGTCATGAATAATGGAATGAGTAATGTGATCTCCTTTTAGTTGCCTGGGGGTACAGTCTTTGTTTATTGATAAGTCTTTGTTTAGTGTGTTACGTTTTTGTATACTACTTTTGGCTCCGACTTCGTCCGCATTTTTTTAACCCATGACAATTGACACAGCGGCTTCTAGTCTCTACCCCTTATCACTTACCCCTAAGTGATAAGGGTTGTCGAGAAAAATAGATAGTAGCCGATTCTCCAAATACTGAATAAGCATATAAAATTTCATAAAAATCGGTCAAGCCATTTCGGAGGCATTAACGTTGTGTGAATTGTTCTAGTAATAATAAATGAAAATAAGAGAGATGCTTGTAGAGATGTTTATTATCATAATTAATAATTAATATATATATTTGGCAGAGTGTCTATAAAAAAATTGCATAAAAAGAACAGTCATATTTTATACTAGCTGTTCCCACGACTTCGTCCGCGTGGTATTTAACTTTATTTTTCTAAAATATAAGTAGTCTAAGTTAGTCCTTATTACATCATCTATCTGCTAAAAGATATCCCGTTAAAATCGGTCCTGCCATTTCAGTGATTAGCCGGAACAAACTGACAGACAGACAAAAATTGGAAAAAAAATATTTTGGTGTATGTACCGTATTTATATTCACATGCATGTAGTAAAAAGCGGTTATTTCAATATTACAAACAGACACTCCAATTTTATTTATATGTATAGATATGGATAAACGAATATAAAAACAGCCAGTGACTCTCATTGTAGGCCCTGATACATTATCATTTCATTCCACGTAAGTATAATTTCGGGGCAGCTCTACATCGGTGCCGGAAACCGGAAACGACGTTCCGTTCTATTATAGCGGTGCATTTGGTTGCATATGCAAATTATAACACAGTTTGTTACACAAGCGCGCTTACTCTTACTCAGAGACCAGAGAAACAGAGCGTGCCGATTGGGGAGGAATATCTGCATTGTTCTACTGCGTTTATATTATACTTAATATTAAAACGCACTATTTTGTGTTACATATTTATATATTGCATGTTGTTATGTACGTATATAAATAAATACGAAAAAGCCGTTAAATCGTATTTACTAAGCAAAGCCGATCACTAAACGATTACTCGAATTACGAGCGTGCATGGCAATAGTTGTTCATGCACTGGATTTTCGTTTAATGTTAGACAGATACTTATTAAAATTTACATTGTAAATAAATTGGCTTTGTAAAAAAAAAGAAATTAAATTGAGTTGACTTGCCAATTCTTATCAATTGAATCTGTATATTGAACTGGACGGTAGGGAAAAATTTATAAGTAATATAGAAAATTTGGGCCTCCAGCAAGGTGGACCGACGATCTGGTCAAGATCGCGGGAAGGCATTGGATGCGAGCAGCGCAGGACCGATCGTCGTGGAGATCTTTGGGGGAGGCCTATGTCCAGCAGTGGACGTCTTCCGGGCTGCGATGATGATGATGATGATGATAGAAAATTTGACTAGGCACCTCTGTAAGCCACTAAGGAGCTTGCCATTTTTTATACCATAGGGTGCAAACGAGCTCGCAGATTATCTGATTGTAAATAATTACCGCCGCCATGAGCAACTCGTAGCCCATAAGACAATACCAGGGGAATTGCAAGTGTGTTGCCTGCCTTTTAAAAAGAAATATATTCTTTTTTAAATCTGTTTTAGTTGATGAGTGTGATAAGGCAGTGTCTGCTTGTTTGTTATCTTTGCACAACGAAATGGCTAAACAGATCTTAATGAAATTTAACTTGTTAGATCATACCACAAAGATGAATATAGATCTATCTTATATCTCAAAAAAGCAGACAAAGTCTCACGCAACACCAGTATTTTCTATTTCTGCGAGTAATAGCAATTGTTCATATTTCTGTTATGGCACACAAAGTTGTTTTTCAAACTCGAACTCACGGTCGTCACAGTCTAAAAGCCGGTGCTACGGCACTCTCAGTTTTAAAGTTGCATTTCTCTTTAGTCCTCATAATCCATTTGTAGGCTGTATTCATAACAAACAACTCAGATAGAAAGCGGAAAGTTTAATATAGAAACAGAGAATGTATATAAATAGTGGCTAGGCCAGTTCATATTAGAAATACCGCGATTCATCTAATAGTTACTTTCCTGATGTATTCCTAAATGTTTTCAAATCTAGATAGAGGGTAGATAGTTTATTTATGTATTTCGAAACTAGCTACTCACCCCGGCTTCGCACGGTACACCCATGTATTATACATATGTATAAACCAACCTCTCAACTTCCAAAGCCGATTCCAAATCGATTGCGTAGTTTTAAAAATTTAAGTATACATAGGGACGGATAGACAGCGACTGCGACTTGTTTTATACTATGTAACTAGCAATTCGCCCCGGCTTCGCCCGGATGTACATGTATTTTATATATAAACCTGCCTCTTGAATCACGCTATCTATTTAAAAAAGCCGCTTCCAAATCCGTTGCGTCGTTTTAAAAATTTAAGAATACATAGGGACGAATAGACAGCGACATCGATTTTGTTTTATACAATGTAATGATTTACATATACGTGATCGCCCAATGGTCGAAATTCAGCCATAATAAAAAATAAATCTTTGAACTAAAATAGTCAATTGTTTTTTTATTGATAAGTATTTATATCAGTTGTTTAGTACCAATAATACAAACTCTGCTTACTGTGTTACTAGATGGCGCTGTGTTAATTGTCCAGGGTTATTTATATCTTTATTTATGATCCAATAACACAAGCTCTGCTTACCATAGGACTAGATGGCGCTGTGTTAATTATCCAGGGTTATTTATTTCTTTATTTATGATCCAATAACACAAGGTCTGCTTACCATAGGACTAGATGGCGCTGTGTTAATTATCCAGGGTTATTTATTCATTTATTTATGATCCAATAACACAAGGTCTGCTTACCATAGGACTAGATGGCGCTGTGTTAATTATCCAGGGTTATTTATTTCTTTATTTATGATCCAATAACACAAGATCTGCTTACCATAGGACTAGATGGCGCTGTGATAATTGTCCAGGGTTATTTATTTCTTTATTTATGATCCAATAACACAAGGTCTTACCATAGGACTAGATGGCGCTGTGTTAATTGTCCAGGGTTATTTATTTATTTATTTATGATCCAATAACACAAGGTCTGCTTACCATAGGACTAGATGGCGCTGTGTTAATTATCCAGGGTTATTTATTTCTTTATTTATGATCCAATAACACAAGGTCTGCTTACCATAGGACTAGATGGCGCTGTGTTAATTGTCCAGGGTTATTTATTTATGACTCATCCAATTTGTCTGGAGTACATTAGCTATACAATGTTTCAATGGCGCCCATACAATTACGGTGGTGGCAACCGCCTTCACCATTGTCTATTCCCCATTGTATACATTCAAATCAGCTGACAGCTTACGACATAGTAATCACAGTGTATTTTATATGTATATTAAGTGTGTAGTAAGACTGTGAGCCAATAGATTTATCGTTGGTTCCTCTAATGACACTATTATATGGTACATCCATAATTTTAGAATAGAACTAGTTGAATCTACAAACGTTATTGCGCCATAGAAATTAAAATCGCTATTAAAAAATAGGGGTTGGTGATAGACGGTGATAGGTGGAAATTTAGGGTTATATATATTTTTATAGCCACGTTATAAAAAGTAAAATAAAAGAGTAAAAAGTTGACCAAAAATTAAATAAAAATGTTAGGTTGTGTTGCCGTTATTATTATTAATTAAAATCGCTATTAAAAAATCGGGGTTGGTAATAAAACGGTGAAAATTTAGGGTTGTATGTATTTTTTGACATCACAATATAAAAAAAATATGTCAAAATTAAAATGTTAGGGGTGGACAATCCTTCTCACTTATAAAAGAAAAACAGAGCGGTCGATTCTCAGACCTACTGACTATATATATAAAATTTCATAAAAATCGGTCAAGCCATTTCGGAAGATGTAAGTATGGTGACTAACATTGTGACACGAGTGTTTTATATATAAGATAAGATATATAATACACACAATTGTCTTTGTTTATAAGTACGTATACTTGTAACAAACTATTTTACTATAGAGATATATGCAAGCATATTCTACTTTATCTATGTCTACAGATTTAACTAAATGATTGACAGAACATGTCAAGAGTGCAGGATTCCTGCACGACACCGTGAAATTTCTAATATGTATATGTTACTGCGTGACGGTCGCGGGTTCGATTCCTCGCACGGTACAAACATACGTATTCATGTATATCATTGTTTGTAATGGTCTGAGTATTTTCTATGTATGTTACGTATGTATTTACAAAAAAAAGTATCTGTATATATTTGTGTATATATTTATATCAGTTGTCTAGTACTGCTAACACAAGCTCTGTTTGATTTGGTAAATTACCCAAGGATAAAAATGTTTTCTTTTTGACCTACTTAAAAAAAGTACATGTTCTCAGTTCAACTGAATTTTATTGCGTGTATTACTTCAGAACTGATTCTAAAAAGTACTTACGTATACGTTTTGAGCGGGAATCGAAGCCGCAATATTTTTTTTTGACAATTCACACAGCGCTATCTATACCCAAGTTAAGCTAGCTAAAGCTTGTGTTATGGTTACTAAATAACTGATACATATACATATATTTTTTCAATTTATACAAAAAGTGACGCAGTTTAGTAGTGGTGTTGCGCCGAAATCGACAGTTGTTTTATGTATATAGTAGTAGTATAGTAATCTATAGTTTGCAATAACTAATTTATTGATGCATTTACATTAATTTATGTTAATAGATCAAGGTGCTAAATTGCATACAAACGTCATTAAATGTAGGCTGCATTCCGAAATATAGATATTCCAGTAACAGAGGTGTGACAACAAAGGTGAGGCTAACCGTTTACCATAAGACGGGCTGTATGCCTGTTTGCCACCATCGTGGTATTAAAAATGCTTTCTGTAACTATTGTGCAAACTTTCTGATGAAGCTAGGAATCTTCAGTGCCAATGGATCTTTTCGACTAGATATATCAACTTTAATAATTTTATTAGTCCAATAAATATTTATGAAATGTTTAAAAAACAATGTATTTCTAATTCTCATATAGACAAAAACTTATCTATTTAAAAATCAGAAATATTTTTTTATCATAATCTAATTTATTATTAAACATTGTATTTAAAATAATTAGAACTATATGACTTCTCATTTCGAATTTACATTTATACTTAATTTTACAGTTTTTTTAACAATAATGATTATGATAACAAAGGAAGTATATAATAATTATTATTATTGTTCTTTATTTAAATGTGCATTATAATTCATACCGGAGCCGTAAAAATATAATTCATTCTATTTTCAAAATGCAGTTACCGATTTTTAGGTAGGTACATACATTTATACCTTAATTTTACAGTTTATTAACAATATTTTTTTATGATTATAATAATAATTGTTCTTTATTTAAAATACTTTATAAAGGAAAAAATATATAATTAATTCTATTTTCAAAATCCGTTATTTCAAATTCTTAGGTCATAAAATTATCATATATTTCAATACGCATTTTAATTTAGTCTATTATTATGCTCTCCTTTCGAGATTTTAAGGAAAATTTATACTAATTTTAATAATCATTAGCATAGTTACTTTGTGATCTGCACTACAGATTAAGCTTAAGCAATATTCAGTGACATTGAATTAGTGATTGTGCAATGCTTATGTCGATACTAGCTAGTTTCACAAGTGTGTTTGCATGAGATACGATTATAAAATATATTTACACGGTATGATTTGGTAATTTGTATGTCGAACTCTGTGTAGGCACCGCATCGATTTGTTTTAGTTCATTGTGTAATTGTGAAGCAGCGATTACGTTTATTAACTCTTATTAGCGACGTTTGTTCGGGCTTATGACATTTATAAGTCTTCGTTTGCTTAATACGTTGTAGTTTTTGTTAGTTATAATAGGAATAAAAAATCATTACATAGTATAAAATAAAGTCGTTGTCGCTGACTGTCCCTATATATGCTTAAATCTTTAAAACTACGCAACGGATTTTGAAGCGGTTTTTATTCATAGATAGAGTAATTCTAGAGGAAGGTTTATATATATATAATATATGTACACCCGTGCAAAGCCGGGGCGAGTAGCTAGTATATAATATTTGTCTAGTCTATCTTAACTATCTACACATATTATAAAACAAACTATACAATAAAAAGCCTGTCTCTATGTCCGCAAAAAACTCAAAAAGTACTTGACAGATTTTCATGCGGTTTTCATCTATCAACAGAGTAAATCCTCATGAAGGTTTAAGTGTATAATCTCTACATGTACGAAGTCAAGGCGAGTCGCTAGTTAATCAAAATAAAAATTTTGTAAAGTCAACAGAGAACCTGGAAGCTCATTCAAATAATTGCTAGTTAACCAAAATAAAATAGTTTTGTAAATCAACAGATTTGAATCTGGAAGCTCAATCAAATAGAAATAAAGGAAATTAATGCCTAATTATACATACAGCTAATATATATATTATGGGATTAGTATGTAACCGAACGACTGTGTTAACTGAATAATGTATGCTTGAATTGAAACGTGAATGACGAGAGACCATTCTCTCGTCATTCACGTCAGTCACATACCATATCCATATATGGTATGTATATTACACCTGTAATTATCACTTGAGTAAACCTCGTACACACAAACGATTGTAATTTTTCTTCATGTCCCCTCTATAAACAATGGTGGAAATGACAAAATTAAATTATACTTTAAAAAAGTGTAAATATATAGGTCTGCCTCGATGGTTTAGCGCACATCTTTAATTCCGATGATCGCAGATTCGATTTATCGCACGGCAAACATTTGTAATCTTGTGTGTGATTGTTTGTATCGGTCAGGATGTTTTCTATGTATATTATGTATGTCTTTACAAATAAAAATATCTCGACATTTATATCAGTTGTTTAGTACCTACTAACTGCCCACCCCGGCTTCCCAAAGGTATGTATTATACATATAACCCTTCCTCTTCAATCACTCTATCTATTAAAAAAAACTGCTTCCAAATCTGGTGCGTAGTTTTAAAGATTGAAACATACATAAGGACAGACAGCGACAGCGATTTTGTTTTATACTATGTAATGAGGATATAGATAATACTAGCTCTGCTCAGCTCGGGACTAGATGGCGTTGTATAAACTGTCTAATGGATATTATTTTTTACTCACCTATTCAAAGTCTTCACATCGAAGCCCTTCTGTATGTACTCAATGCCGGCTGGTACAGCCATGGTGAGCAGCAATCTCGGTTTCCCCGTCTTCTCTGACTCCTTCTCAAATTCTTCGCGCAGTTCCTTCACCAGTTTGGCATAGTTATCCCTGTCTTTTGGCTTGCCACCGTCCCTGAACGCGGGGTACTCCCAGTCAAGATCCAGCCCATCGAATCGGTTCTGCCTGAGGAACTGTAGAAAACACATTAATAAAGATTTATAGAAAAAATCGAAGTTTGTGTCGTGTATTAGGTTAATTTTATTTATTTATAACTCTTTATTGGACCTCAAAAATAATACAAAAAAAAAATAATATTCATAATACACAGACAGGTAGGCTAGGTACAAAAGGCGGTCTTATCGCTAAAGCGATTTCTTCCAGACAACCTTTGGGTAGACGAAAAAAGACAGAAGGTGGTGGATGGCGCAAGATGGAATGAATAGACAGAAATTATAGGTTATTTATATTTTTAACCGGGTCTTAACGTAATTGTATGGTAAATAAAGGTATTAAGATTCTAGATTTTTTTAAATGATTCAGATTTACAATATTTGAATGGGATATAAGGAGGACTTGGAATTTGAATGGTAACCATAGCCTATGTACAAAAACAGTATCACTGCTAACACGTCATCATGTGACACCCGTGATATAATTCAAGATTCCTTATGAACCTTCCTTATGGATCCACTAGACCAACGAGTTTGTTCTACTGGTCAAGTTTATTAAAATCCATTTTCACTCTATTACTCTATATTTCACGCTCTATTCGTTTACTATTAAATTCAAATTCAAATAGAAAATATCTTTATTCATGTAAGTCTATTACAGACTCTTATGATATGTCAAATCTACCGTCAGTTTGGAATGATTTCGAGATGAGAAGAACTGACAAGAAACTCAGCTCGTATTCTTTTCAAATGAATGTTGTACATGTTTACAATAATACACAGTCATTAAAATTCAAATTTGGGAGAATAGAGTGACCTGGTGGTCACTCTATTCTCATTATATTTTTATTTTTTGCAATAGCATATGCTGGTGCATATGCTATTGCAAAAAATAAAAAATCTAGTCAGTGTTCGCAACCTGAACAGACCAGATTACATTAGTTTACTAAAATAATAATAAAACAAATAGGGTTGTGGAAATGGAATTATAAGTACAAATTTCTTTTTAACGAATGTATCCATTTATGGAATAAATTTAATAAGAAATTAATCGAATAGAATAGAAAATCATTTATTCAAATAAACTTACATCGAACTTTTGAATAGTCATCACTTATTTTTTTAATCTACCGCTCATTCGGAAAGCTGTCTCATGACTAGAAGAACAAGCAAGAAATTTGCTTGTTGCTCTTTTAAATAATTTACTAGTAACTTTACATTTTGAAGTTAAAATGTGTTGAATTCCACAAATGTTCATATGAACGGGAGATAAAGGAGCAGATAGAGAGCTAATATTAAATGAAGTTGCATTGCAGTTGACTGGTCATTCTGTAAAACGTGTAATGGCAGAGAAAGTGACGATAATGACTCCATGACTGTCATGTTGTACTTATCTTATATATAGGGCTGTCAACTTACAAACAAAAATATTATACTATCTTACTAATACTATAAACGCGTCAATAATAATAATAATCTTAGAATAATTCACACAGCGCCATCAAGACTCAAGTTAAGCTAGCTAAAGCTTGTGGTATGGGTACTAGATGACTGATACAAATACATATATATACTTTTTACAAATACACACATACATATTATACATAGAAAATATCCAGACCGATACAAACAATCATATTCATGAATATAAACTCCGCCTTACATCCGAACTAAACATTTATATTTATTAATATCATCCTAAACCACTTGACTACCGAGGCCCTTATATTCGATATGGGCTAAATCTTTATGTAAGTTATGTAAGTTTAATTATATTATATTTATTCATAATTGAATAAATATAATATAATAAATAATTAGAAAAGAAGTATTATAGCATAAATGAATTTCTGGATTACGCAGATTAATTATTTATGTTTATATTTATATTTATCCTGCAATAATATATATATTTCTTCAATCGTATTTGAAAGACAGAGAAACTTATTATTTATTCTAAGACCTTTGTAACTTTCAGTTGTAAACATCACAAATAAAGAATTTGAATTTGGAAATAAAAAACAAAATGGCAGCCCTGCAGACACAAATATATATTCAATATATTAAATTCAATATCAATATATTAAATCATGATCGTAATATCACAGATAACATATCAGAACGTGTGAATTACTATTTCCATCTCTACTAAATTATATTTCAATTATAACTGTTTGATAGTAGATTGTAAGTATTACTTGTATATGAAAGGAAGAATAATAATTGGCGTTATTGCATATTATGAGAGATTGCTTTGAGATATCGCCTCTTGCTAAGCACTTCTATGCGTAGTGGTTTTTTGATGCTTAATTTTTACTACCTGTTTTGTTTATGTTATTCTGAACTTTAAGCTATGTTATTGTAAAGTTTCATTACAATCCATTTCGTAGTTTTTACGTGAAAGAGTAACAAATATCTATCCATACAAACAAATATCCGCGTTTATAAAGTAAGTATTGTATAGCATAGTCACACGTCAACAATCAACAAGTCACACTTGCGGCTCACCTGATGGTAAGTGTTTATTACCACCCATGATTTATATACACCTTCTTTGCAAGAGTTTTTATTATTATTTTATTTATTCATATTCTTAATTGCACCAGATAAAGAACATGATTAATGTTTTATTAAAATTATAATATTAAAAAAAGTTACTTCTTATAATATTAGCTATCTGCAAGTAAAAGTCCATTCAAAATTGGTCCTGTCGTTTAGAGAATTTTTTGATGTGAAGAGCTGTTAATTTGAAATCACTAACACTTTATGTATAGCATATATATGAGGACATATAAGATAATATTACATAGTATTTGACAGCCTCGGTGGTCTATTGGTCTAGCACACCGTTTTACGTCTGATGGTCGCGGGTTCGATTCCTCGCACGGTACAAACATTTGTGTTCATGAGTATGATTGTTTATATCGGTCTAGTTATTTTCTATGTATAATATGTATGTATTTACGACAAAAAATATGTATATGTATCAGTTATCTAGTACCCATAACACAAGCTTAAGCTAGCATTCACAAGCGTTAACTTGGGTCTAGATGGCGCTGTGTGAATTGTCTTGAGATTATTTTTTTTTCTCAGCTTTTGCTGGTTTTCTCATTATTATTGTTATTATTAGTAATTCATGTAAAATTGTAAATTTGTGACCGTTTTTCGTCATAATTGCCCCAGAAAGCTTTCTGTTTATACCTAAAGGTTAACTGGTGGAAATGTCACACGACTTCAAGCTCGTAATTTATACAAGTTTTATTGACGTTCTCATTGGTCTAGCAGTTAAGTTGGCTAGTTAGCACACCCCTCACATCGGATGGTCACAGGTTCCATTCCTAGCTAACATTTGTATTCTTGAGTATGATTGTTTGTATTCTTCTAGGTAATTTCTGTATATACTATGTATAAATTTACAAAACAAATGTTTTTAAGTATATATATATAATATCTGTTGTCCAGTGCCTATAATGCAAGTTGTGCTTAGCTTGGAACTAGATAGCGTTGATTGTACATAATCCAGGGTACAGTAAGAGATTGCTTTCAGCGACAAGGCTGCCTATTGTGCTTTATTATTATTATTATTGTGCAATAAATAAAATAGAGAATAAATAAATAAAACACGCTTACCTTAATAGCATTCCTGACGAACTCTTTCCTTCTCTCCCGCGACGCGACCATGGGCGAGAATCTCGTGGAGCCTTCATTCCAGCCTCCGATAGCCAGCAATGTCTTGAGGTTCTTATTGTACGTTTTCAGGCCAACGAACTTCGCATACCCGCCTGTGAAATAATCAAGAATAAAAATGGATATAACAACATTACAAAAAGTTATTCTTAAATTTTACAAATATTTGAGCATTTATGATCAGAATTTAGATAGATAGATAATTATTTGCGTTAAAGGGCATACACAGAAGGTATAAAAAAAAATACATAACTACAATGGGCACTTAACAATATACAATATAGGTACAAGAAACCTGTGAGTAAAGTAGTGTGTCTGTATTGCCCATACATTAAAAAAGAGACATCTCAGTGCATTTTAATCTCAGAGATTTGCAAGGTCAGCTTTATCATTTAATATTCATTTAAAACCAATTTTGAAAAACTATTCACCTTTTTCAGTTATTCTGAACAATTACTTATAAAATACTTTTACTGCGAACTAAATAATAACTTATAAGCTGGTAACAACAGAACATGATGAAATCCATTTTTATATAATTACTACTAACTTATTATATATTCTTTATTGCACTTAAATACATTTTATAAGTATATTAATTAGAAATAATGTTAACAAAGGAGGACTTATCTCTAAAAGAGATCTCTTCCAGTCAACCCAATAGAGCGTGACATAGGAAGTGTAGAATAGGTCAAATACTAGGTACTTATTGTACTAAACAAACAAATAATAATAATTATTAAAATGTTAAACAAAAAAAAGGTTGCGTATAAATCTGTAACTAAAAACTGAAATTTGCAAAATCATGTTGTATTTTTACATTTTTCAAATCATTTTTATTATTAATATCCTATAGATACTTCACTGATATCTGTGGTATTAGGTATTAAAGTCATGAGAATATTATTAAAAATCAGTCTTAGTTCACCACAGAAACACTCTCTATACTATAGGATGATAAAATAGTTTTTAAAAATTTACACATACATAACTAATACCACAGATAAGATAATCTTACATATTCATACCACAGACAACCTAATCTAATACTGATGTGTCAAGGCTTGAATCAAATAATCAAATTCATCTCTTATTAATTGCCGAATTTGTTTTATATTACCGTCATTTGTTTTTTTTTGCTTGTATGCTATTTATTAATTAAGTTAATTAATTAAACTATTAATATATTAATTAACATAATTACTTTAATTATGTAAAATATTTATGAATTTAGATTACATTAATATCATCGGATTTTATCACGAATAATTTTAACGTAAATAACGTATGTCTAATGTTTTTTTTACCAAATATTGGTTTAAAGGACTCACCTTTCTCAATGTCCTGGTATTTGTCGAATGGTTTCAGCGTGTTCTCCTTGGTGAATGCTCCGAAGGCATATATTAAATGCGTACATAGGTATGGGTTGATGTTCTGTGGGTTGAATTTGGCGGTCCCTGGCCGGTACACCGACCAATTTGTGTAGTAACACACCACCCGTGGTTCACTTGATTGTGCTGGAACAAAACACAACTATTGTTATATTTGAAACTTATATTAACTATTTCTTGCGGCTTTCTTTCTGGTAGGTACAATAGTTACAACTGTCATATAAAAATATAAAGACATAAAAAGCGTGGCAAAAAAATATTTGTACCATAGTCTACCAACTTCTATTTTTTTTTAATAAAATACAATGAATAACCCCCGCTGCTAATATAGTTTGCTATAGAGGAACAAATTTTTAAAATCGCCTTCATATTCTGAGTTCTAATAACAGTTTATTTATTTACCAATATTATTTCCTATAATCACAACAGTATGGATTCTTAAACTAGGCTGGACCTGTCCTGTAGGAATCAGAATACGATTTATCTCGCAAAAAACATTTAAGTCTAAAAGTACGGACGATTTGTTAAGCTAAAACTACAGTTTATTTCTTTAATTTTAATCATAAAAAAAAATTAAAAAAACTGGACCATTCCATTATCATCCATAAAAAACGATTTTCATTGAGTTTATGTAAAATAATAATATTTTTTTATTCAATATTAGTTCAGACCGGCCGCTTGTACCTAAAAAAGTATATCCAAAACTTCAAGTTTGTAGCACCAACTATTTAGGTTGTGTCATATATGCTTAAGGATTCTGAAGTCTGTTTTACCATTTTTATTCTGCTATATATTAATTACCTATTCCATGAACTCCAGTATCATCAATTCAATCAATCCTTCCATTTAAGAAGTTCCTTTATTCACATTAAAGTTCCTACATCTTTTTCTACCTACCCTTTCCTATATACTGGTTTTGTACATCACAATAAAGGCATTACGTATTTTTATAGTTTCATTCAGAAGCTAGTCATACGTCATAGATAACCTTTATAGCTTATGTAGTCCTAGTACCTGGGATACGAATTCATCCGAACATTTTCAACGTTTCGTTTTGAAGAACTCATTGTTAGTTGAGCAAAAATGAGAATATTTTTGTTCTGTTTGGGGCCCGATCAATAATATAAACATAGACCTAATAAAATAAATTTTGAAATATTTTCATTATCGTTTATGCAATATTGGGGCACTTGATACAACACGACGAACTTATGAATAATATTATCGAAGCAAAAATAGAAGGAAAGAGAGTTAAGGGAAAGACACACAGCTATATTAAGCAAATAACGAGAGCTCCTTCGACAAGAGCGCGGCTTTTAAATAATGAATGAATGAATGAATATGCAGTAGCTAGTTATACGTCACAGATAACCTCTATGAGCTTATGTAGTCCTAGTACCAAGAATACGACATCATACGAATATTTTCAACGTTGAGCTTCGTATAATAAACATATAGATAGATCGCTTGCTTGGACACGGACATAATCTATTTTTTCATAGGTTTATGCTAGGCATACGTCACAGATAACCTTCATGAGCTTATGTAGTCTTAGTACCCAGAATACGACATCATACGAAATTTTCAACGTTTCGATCGTGTGTGTAGAGTAAATAAATCCTGTCGCAATATGAGGAAAGGTTTAATTTTTATAAACACCATACCCAAAATACTGAAATATTATTTTATGTCAATAAAAAACATATATATCGTTCCGATAGGGTACAAACAAATACATAGATACAACCATTCTAATTACCTAAAAAAATTGAAATTGATAATGTGTCTGTCTGTCTGCCTGTTTGTTAACTGTTTCCCTACGACTTCTTATGAATAAATTTTCATGCCTTTCATCCTTTCCAGAATATTTTCAAGATAAAAGATCCGTTCGTTCGTTTTATAATATGTATTATGTATATATATGGATACTACACTTTCGTATCATGTGGATAATAGTGTGTCGATCGACATAAAGAGAGGTGGTAATAAGAGAAAAAAGGACAAAAACTGTAGTAGCGCGTCATACGTCACATCCACTCATCGTTGGAACCTTCATCAGCTTATGTAATCCTAGTAACTAGAACACGACACCAGACGAAGATTTTCATTTTTATTTTCAACCCAAATCCACAGTCATATGAATAAATTCTGAAATATTGTTATATACTATATATTCTAGCTTCGCACGGGTGTACATGTATTATACATAATATACCTTCCTCTCGAATCACTCTATTACTAAAAACTGCATTAAAATCCGTTTCGTAGTTTACAAGATCTAAGCGAACAGACAGCAAAAATTCAACTTCATTTTTTAATATTGCTATGTTCTTTACATATTTATGAAAGAAAGATATCTGTGTATATTAGCAGTCAGAATCTGCATTTATCTTATAAATATTATATACAGATTTGACTTCGAATGAAGAGTCTAACCTTATGCTACAATATGTCTTCTTTTATTAAAATCTGGCTGCACCATTTAGTCGTGAAAAGATGATAAACAGACAGACATAGTTTTTATCTAGCTGAGAAATCATCGAACGTAAAAACTATTATTACGAATATGCCGAGTATGCTCCGTCTTCTCTATCACACACAGATAGTAGTAGTCAATCGACATAAAGAGAGGGAAAATAAGACAGACAAGGATAAAAATTGAAATAGCGAGAACTACGTCACACCATTTTATCATTGGACGACCTTCATCAGTTTATATAATCCTAGTAATAGAAATACGACACCATACGAAATCTCTTCGGCTCCGTAGTACTTAATAAATTAATTAGTTTATGAAGTCTTAGTAATCAGCACAGATACAATCCACAGACAAAGTATATGATGAAAACTTTTTTATTTTTTATTCTCACAAGAAAATGAATATTTTCTTACAAAATATAATACTGTACATACATACTAGTATATAGCTGCAACTTCGACTGCTTTGTAAGACCTTCTTTTCTTAAAGATTCCGATTTTTTGCTACAATAAATGTTCACGTCTTTCATTAAGACCTATTCAGCAATTTAATCGTGAAAGGGTAATAGTAGATAGATATACATAATTGTACATTTATAATCTATCTAGTAAAGAGACCATGGGGAAAGAACAATAAAGCTAAATACTGAAAGTAAAAGCTATTACGAATGTGCCGAGTATGGCTACCTCTTCTCTGTCACACACAAAGAGAGTAGTGTGTCGATCGACATACAGAGAGGGAAAACAAGATAAACAAGGATAAAAATTGAAATAGCGAGAACTACGTCACACCATTTTATCGTTTGACGACCTTCATCAGTTTATATAATCCTAGTAATAGGAATACGACACCATACGAAATCTCTTCGGCTCCGTAGTGCTTTAAATAAATCAATGGAATTTGTGAAGTCTTAGTAAGTAGCACAGATACAATCCACAGACAAAGTATATGATGAAAACTTTTTTATTTTTTATTCTCACAAGAAAATGAATATTTTCTTACAAATATAATACTGTATATATATAACTTTAACTGCTTTGTAAGACCTTCTTTTCTTAAATAATCCGACTTTCTGCTACAATAAATGTTCACGTCTTTCATTAAGACCTATTCAGCAATTTAATCGTGAAAAGATAATTAGTAGATAGATATACTTAATTTTACATTTATAATCTATCTAGTAAAGAGACCATGGAGAAATAACAATAAAGCTACTGAAAGTAAAAGCTATTACAAATGTGCCGAGTATGGCTAAAAATAAGATAAACAAGGATAGAAATTGCAGTAGTGAGAACTACGTCACACTACTCTATCGTTGAACCACCTTCATAAGTTTATGTAATCCTAGTAATAGGAATACGTTACCATACGAAAACTCATAGCTTCGGCTCGTATTTGTAAGTAAGTAAGTACTTAATAATCAATATCTAGGGAATGTATGAAGTCTTAGTAAGTAACGCAGATACAATCCACAGACAGAAAATCGATGTTCGACCATATGTGACAAGTGTGATGAGGTCGATATGTTTTTATTTTGAAGCTTTATTCTGATAGTAATAATATATATGTGTATGTAATAAACGCATAGTCGAAGTGCGATCAATTATTTTTATTCATATATTTTTAATTATTATTATGAAACAATTACCATCTTACACGCCTCCTGCGTATAAACTTTATGTGGCAAATTTCATATTCCTCTGTTCGCCTAATTTTTATAAAAACAATGCTTCACGTATTAATAATATATTAAAGATCATCTACCTAACAAAGAATCAATGAATAATAAAAAAATAGTAAAAGCAATATTTAATTAAAATATTATGCCGAGTTTGTTATTTTTTTTTTTATTCACATGGAGTGTGTCGAACGTCATAGAGAAAGATAATAACATAAAAAGGACAAAAACTGCAGTGCCGAGCTACGTCACACCAAGTTATAGTCCGATTACCTTCCTCAGTTCAGGTAGTCCTAGTAACTGGAACACGACATCATACGAAACTTTTATCCTTTCATTTCGTAATCAATATAATCTGTGAATTCATGAAGTCTTAAGCAAACCCAAAGTTAAAATGTTTGCCTTTTTTTTGCCAAGGTTTTTGAATAAAATAATATTGCGACTATAAATTGAATGTAAACTATCCTATCGTTCAAGTTGGATCAAATTTCACACAATGTGCAAATCAAATTTGCAATCGGTTCAGTAGTTTAAAAGTCCATTGCGGAAAAACAACGTGACACGTCATTTTTATATATAAAGATTACTTATGGTTAGAAAATGTCTATAAATATCAGAATTAATCGAGAGATAACAACTAATATGAACAGTGCATAACTATCACAATTAAGCGAAGTATGCATGTATTGCAGTGTGTCGACTGTCGACCGACATGAAGAGAGAGATAGATAATAAGAGTAAACAGGACAACTGCAGTAGTCGGTCATACGTCACACAATTCCGACGACCTGTATCAGCCTAGGTAGTCCTAGTAATAGGAATACGACCCCAGACATCGTTCATTCATTTCGCATCGTGTTGTTTTAGTCGGCATATTGTGACTTTATGGAGTCTTAGTACTAAGCACAGATTTAATACCTATGTCCGTCCTTAATCTATCTTCACGCCGAATTCACTAAAATCTTTTCG